GCAACAGGTCTGGTTTTGAGTGGGATGCAAACTTTTGACCTCCCCTGTATAAACTTAGATGACTCGTCAAGTAATTATTTCCATTTAAGAGGGGAAAGCAGATTCAGAATTTGTTTACAAGGCAGTCGTGTTAGTGACTTGGTTAGGTCACACAGCAGGAACGGTCTATCTATGGTATGATACAGCGTGCTGCAGCTTACCCAGCCAGTAATATTCGGACTATTTTGGGGGCTGCTTCTGCAGCCAGCTGAGTTCAATGCTACTGGGCCAGGACTCCTACCCACGTGCAAGGGACCATGCTTTGTCTCACTCCTGTCAATTAAAGGATATTTAGCTATCTAGATATGTATAGACCCTATGGAATGGGTGCAAATGAACCCCTGCCCATATATAAAGATTTTTATCTTGCCAAAGGAGCAAAATAGAGCCCAAATGCAAGCAAGAATTGGGCATTTCTAGTCAAATGGCTTGTGAGAAAGAAAATCTACTTGCTTTTGCTTTCCTGCAGAAAGGATTGTGGCTTAAGAAAGAGTCCCAGAAAGAAAGAAAATCTTCTCTGTTAGTTCCAGTTATAGGTGTTACTACTGAGTGTCAAATATACATTCGGGTGGTTCAGGTGATTTCTCAGGTCACTGTCAAAAGACAAAGTAAATAGGGAATAATTTTCTGAGAGAACCAGGGAATAAAAAGGCTGCTTAGGCACTGACCTACCATTTGCTGGCAACTTGTATGAGCCCTCTATGATGGTGAGTGGAAAGGCCTGTTCTCAGGGCTGTAGTAAATACTCATCTATAAATAGCTGGAAACGGCTTATCAGGGCTGGCAGGCTCTTCTCAAAAGAAAGTTTGGCCTGGCCAGATTACCTTAAAGCACAAAAATAACACCTGTAGATAACAGGTGACTCAGTGGTTTGACTGCAATCTGCTGCCCTATGAATGAAACCAGATTTTTTTCTATTAGGGCACTATCTTAATGTTTCCTGATTTTTAGATGTGTTTTTCTACCAAAAAAAAATTAGAAGGGAACTACTGATGCACGTAACAATAACAAAGAAAGCAGAAGGTCCATGGACCCTCTTCCTCTTTTAAACCTGATATCTGTCATGAAAAAGAAAATAATCCTGGGATCACAACAATATTATGTCAAACAATATGACAAGAGAGTGCTCAGTGGTGTACAGAGATGTGAAGTGACCGTGAAGTACACAGTACATCAGTGAGATATGTATCTGTTAATAAGGCAAAAAGAGACCCCTGCATTCATCTGTCGACAGAGCGGTCCTCTCCAGGTCTGCAGTCATACACATTTTTTGGAGTATGTGTTTGTGTAGAAGAGACCACCTACTCAAAAGGGCAGCTTTTTCTGAAATAACTTCCTGCAGCTTGCAGAATATTTTGTTAAACTTTTCCATGTGTAAAATGACCCCATGCCATTCCTTGCTACCTTTTAGGGACTATTTTTACTGGTTTTCTAGTCCTTGTCAGAACGGGAACTGAGGTAGGAACAGGTTTAGCAAATTGTCATTGGGCAAGAGGCAAAACTGAACAGTTCTTTGCCAGCCCAAGAGCTCTCTTAAATTCTCTGAGACTTGGGATGTGTTTCAGTGAAACTGAACTAACGTTCTCTGAGAAACTGCATCTTTTTTCAGTAAAAATACAGAGTCTTTCCAGAAACCAAGCAGTCAGAAGTCTGAGAGAGGAAAGTAGAGGGTTATATGTGTTTTCTCAGTGCCATGCAGCTCTTTGTCATTGTCACTTCACCCAAGGGCTACCCTTCCCCTGGAGGGGTCTTCCTTCCCTAACCCCACTGTGTCTTGCTGTGTCCCCGTGCCTCACACATACACTGATTTTCAAAGGAGGAAGCAGAGTGGGGAGAGGGGGGTAAACAGAAAGAAAAAGGACTGCAAATCCCCTCCACTCCAAAAAGAATGGCTTTTCTAATTACAATAATTACCATATGCAACACTTCTCTTTTCATGAGAAAGTAATTCAGCCCTTGCGGCCTCCCCTGAGGTGGGAGGTGTTCCTGCTGTTTTCGGAGGAGGAAGCCAAGGCGCAAGTGATTAAGCCAGTGACACAGCGTGAAGCATCACCGCAGGAGCTGGTGATCTCCTGTGAAATCAGAACAACCCAGGCTGGCAGTGTCCACTAGACACTAGTGGACAAAAAATCTAGAATCTCCTAACAACTGTGGGGTTTATTCTTTCGTGAGATTTTCACTCTGTTTCTTTTTACAGGGATTTGCTGCCCTTCACCCTGAAGCTGCCACAAGCAATACTAGAAGCCAGTACCTTTCAAGACCTTGAAATTATCTCTAGTCTGGGGATAGGTGAGTCCCTCAAAGCAGCCAGAGTTTTATTCAGACTTATGAGAACCATGGCACTGACATAATGCAACTGCAGGATAGATGAATTATTGTCTTCAGACTGGCTGAGAAGGCCTGAAGGCAAAAGAGAAAATGTTTATTATCTCTGTGTTTCTAGAAGCACACTGAAAAAAGGCTGCTCACCTCTTAGGACATAAAACTAGACTTGGACTTCTGCACAGGGCCTGGGACCTGCAGTGTCCCTGTATGAGATGGGCCTTTCAACAGCTGAAGTGCAGCACAGCCTCTCAGGATAGCCTACGCACATTGGAAATAGCTGGAATCTGAGATACGTGAAAAGAGGAAAACACCTTTGCATTTTCCCTTTCTGATAATGTGGAGGCTACGCTGAGGGGAGTGCGATATTTTCGAGTTTTGGTATTTCTGCTTCCTCTTGCAGGATTTCTAGTTGGTAAAGAAACGCATGGTGTCCCAGCATGTTCTCTCGCCTCCTGCTTATCAGATACAAAAAGGAATGTTATTTTTAGTGACAGCACCAAACCAGCGAATTTTAGATCTGATGGATAAAGTTACAGAGATGAGAAATGCAGTTCTGCTAACTAAAGGGGGTCTCCTTCCTATTCCTTTCCATTAAACACACTCCACTTGAGACAGCTATGCTACTTTGCTTTTCAGTTTTCCCTCAGCTGTTGAAAATAGCCAAACAATGCTGAAAGCTGAAGAGTTAGCTCACGTAGACATACTCACTAAAGCACCCTGGGGCTTTGCGGATCTATTTTTGTATCTTCTGCATTATACATCCCAGAAAACACGGGCAAACCCCACTGGTTTCAGTTCAGGCAACTTTGTTGAATTTGACTAGCAGATTTGCCTCCTAACAGTTTCGGCATCCTCTATTTTGAGTAGGCTCCAGTTTGTCAAAGCATCCTTGAATATGGATGTCCAGCTAGCGCTTATTGCTTAAAGAAAGGTCCTTTGCAGCATGTGATAGCAAACTGTAAACTTATTAATTTCATTATAACAAGCTTAAACATTTGGATTAAAATGTAAGAACTGTATCATGATTGTCCAGCCTTCTGCCTAATTTGAGCCAGCAGAGGAGATCCTGACTCAGGCAACAGTCTTCAGCAACTTCTGAGATGAAGGGTTAACTGAAGCACAAGCACCAAAGCAATGTTGGCTGTAGTCTTCTTACTTCTTTCCTGTACAATGATGGTTATAAAAGTAGAAGTTTGCTTGCCACAGTACATTGCATGCCAGGGAAGCTTCTGACAGCAGAAAAAAATCTGCTTTGTGTAAAGATTTCCTGGGAAATGGTGCTAGCTTCTTGGAGCACCATGCTGTCTCAGTAAAGTCAAACAGGCTGAAGTAATGAGTGATGCTGTTTATTACAAAATTTTGTGGGTACAAATGGGTACACGAACAATAAGTGCTGCCCAAAGTGGCACTCCAAAAGAAAAGCTAGCATTGATATTCTAGTATGTTGGGTTTTATGTATTTCCAAGTGATATGTTTTTGAGGGGTAGAAGGAAGATGTCTACCTGCAAGCTGGATTGTTCCACAAAGGATCTGGCTGTTACGTGTTTTGTCAAAGAGGATGTACTGCAGGCTCTCTAGTCCTGTCATTGCTGGTACAGAAGGCATTTTAGCAGGAGAATTAGTGTGACTGCACTGCACAAAGAGCACATACCATCACCGACGTGCCAAAGTCTCGAAAATCTGCTTAATTATCCCTCCCAGAGTATAAGCTAAGGGAAGAGTCAAGCCAGCAGTGGGAGATAATCAAACTGGCTTTCCTGTTCAATGAGACAGTGGCTGGGCCGGGAAACACCATCTCTGAAGCAGGTGCATAACCCTGTAAGACCACCTCCTCTGGTCCTTCACAGTCTGAGTGGAGCACTGCATTTTCATTGCAGTGTCTTATCCTGACCACTACTGAGAAAAATAACCAACTTCCCTTTTGTATATTGGTTTACTCACCATTTCCTTAGCGCCCATGAGACTCCACAGCATTATATTCTGACTTAAACAAGCAGCTTCCACTGTCTTGTATTTGCTGATGCCCAGAAGAGTTGGAGCATTTAAAAGAAATCATACCCCAGAAATCTCATATGTGAGGGGTTTGGCAGCGTGATGCTGTTATGTGCAGTTACATCTGCACGTCTATTCCTGAATTCTGTTGTCAAGAGTACTGCTGGTCCTGGCAACACTTTTATTTTAAGCTTCTTCTATCTCCTCCCCCTCCTGGTAGGAAATCAGGGAATAAAGCTGTTCTGACCTCAGCATCAAAAAACATGGGGATGTGCTTATGAAGTGCTCAACACTGAGGGTCATCCCATGGGTGTGCAGCCCCGTCTTTCCCCTCTTGGGTTCGGTGCATGATGGTTTTGCAGTGAGAGAAGGCTGACATCAAGCACAGGGCAGGGTGCAGGAGCCATTCACATCCTTTGTAAGTCCACCCAGAAGAGTGTGCTGTCAGTCTCAGCTCTGTGTCTGGGGACCAAGCACGCTGAAATAGTTATTTGGTTACTTGCATCCCTGTGTTTCCTGGATTTCTTGTCTTTCCCTTGTCCCTAAACCCATAGGCATCGATGCAGTCCTCACACAGTGAATACCCTCAGGGGTTTATGCTCTTTCC